GGCCTGTCACACCACCAAGGCTGTCTCTCCAGCATTCGCCCTCACCAGCAGGCTGGGGAGGGGCAAGATCTTGGGAGGGGACACAGCCAGGCCAGCTGACCCCAACTGACCAAAGGGATATGCCATACCATAGAGAGTCTGCTCAGCAATAAAACCTAAGAGAACAGAGGAGAAAGGGGGAGCATTTGTTATTTACGGCGTTTGTCTTCCGGAGCAACCGCTACGTGTACGGAAGACCTACTTCCTGGGAAGTGGTCAGACATCGCCTGCTGATGGGAAGTAGAGAATAAATCTCTGTTTTCCTTTGCTTCCACACACGACCTTTGCTTTTGCTTTATTAAACTGCCTTTATCTTGACCCACAAGTTTTTTTCTTCCATCTTATTTTCTCTCCCCTGTTCAGCTGAGGAGAGGAGTGATAGAGTGGCTTGGTCAACCCACCACAACAAGTAATTTATATTTTTTTAACACTGGCATTACATGTTAGTATTGTTTTATTTTAGCTTCAAGTCTACGCAAGATCTGGATACTTTTAAAAGCATACACGTCTCTTTCCCAGGCGGAGGTCACTGAGGACTGCGCCAGCACAATTGCCTGTTTGCTACAGCATTCATCACTTTGCAAAGACTGCTCCAGGGAAGGCCATTTCTTGGTACACATGTGAGCAGCTCAGGACCTGAGCTTTTTGGTCATTAGGCTGCCAGAAAATTAGCCAAACAGGCAATTTCTTTCCAATGCAGGACTCAAACTGAGTAACTATGGTAGAAATGTCCCTGCAGGTCCTTTATCTCACTGAACAGTGTGTTCTGCTAACTCCTATAGGTGGCTATTTCTAGCATCCATCACCGGACTCTGTAACATGCATTCAGAGAACAGCACCAAATGGAGGCAACCTTTAATTCTCTCTGGAATTACACCTGAACCCAAGCAAAATAAATACTGCAGGTTGGCAAGCATCAGTGTAGTGTAGTAGCTGCTGCCTTATTTTACTCCTATTAAAGGGATCAGAGTTGCTATAAAAATAAGAGGTGTGCTTTTCTCAGAACTACTGATTTCTGAATCCTAAGACATTATTACTGCCTTTCGTTTTTTTCAGTGCACATCACCCCACCCAAAACACTCCTGTCTATGCTGTAGCACTGGAACAACATCCTGGCCTGCCCTTCCTTGCATTTATTACCACAGGAATATATACACACATGAATTACACACTTGATTTGCTGATGCATATGGAGTAAATAGAAGTCATCATGTCTGCTACCTTCTTCTTCTCCTCCATATATCACTGAAGAGCCTCATGTCCCCCCATAAGTTTTTATGTCTGTCTGTTTATCTGTATATACATATATGCATACACCTTTCTGTATAATCAGAATACTAATGGTACAAAGGTTGTTGAGCTAGTCCAACTAGACTTGATTACATTAGCTATCCTTGACTATAAGTTACAGAAAGGCATCCAAGGACCTAGTAGGTAGAACTGTACAATGGAACATACATTCTCTATTTGGTATAACATTAGCATTACAGCTGTGACCCCTTCCTATTAATTATACAACGTGGCTGTGTCATGGGTTTCCACATCACAACAATGCAATTCGGACTGAGCTACAATGAAACTATGTAGTTTCTTGACAAAAAAAAAATCACTTTGCATTCCTTTGTAAGACGGAGAAAGCTCAGGAGAGTTCACATGGTAACTCATACCTTAAATTTTCCATCTGATGAGAATATGCTAACCCATTTGTTATCATAATCTGCAATAATGATGTCACCACTGGGATGCACAGCCACTCCTGTTGGCCGCTGCAACTGGCCGGGAGACCTTCCTCGTATGCCAAAACGGCTTTTGAACTGACCATCATTGGAAAATATCTGTAACAGAAAACACTCATTTTAAAATTAACTCTGCATAATAACATCATCTATTTCTTGGAGCTTAGATTTTGGCAAGTCACTAATGAACACTACAGTCAGGAAGAGAGTTAGGAACATGAAGCACTTTTACACGGTCCGTATTTGAAAGTGATATGCATAATTTAAGAGAGGCTTCCACCTGGACCCTGATTTCAAAATAAAGAAGTTCTCTGCACCTACACTGCACTGTTTCTTCCGTGATCTCAAAGTACTTTACGAACATTAGTGAATTAAGCTTCAGAATCTCCTTCTCAGCTAGAAGGAAGTGGTATTAGTCCCATATTAGAAATGAGGAAACTGAGGCACTGAGTGACTTGGCTACAGTCAAACACTAAGTCTGTAGAAAAGATAGGAATAGAAGGTAAAAGAGAATTTAAAAAATTTAACTGTTTGACTTAGGGATAAGTACTAGGTCTTTTCCCGAGAGATGGCTTTAGTCACACAAAAGTCACTCTACTGGTTGTGTCCCCAAGCCAGGCAATTAGACACTGAAGTTCCTCTGAAGTGGCTGCAAATTATAAAGTGTGAGGGTGCTGATGAGTATTTGACTCTGTGTCTTTGAAAAGGCCTGGAAATGAGTTCGCACTGCATGTGGCTTGCTGGTTCTCACATGCTGAAGAACAAGCCACACACTGCTGCCTTGTTCATTGCTACCACATGGGCAGCCTGAAGACTGATGACAAATTGTTAATGGTAAAAAAGATACATGGCAAACAAAAGAAAAAACACAGCTTGATTTTCACACAGGTTACAGAAGCCAAGAACTCACGGGTGTCGGGGTGCTACCACAGAAAAGATTTGATCATGATATCAGGCAGAAAAGTCAATTAAGTAGTCTAAAAGCCACTTGAAAATGACATCTACATGCTTATTTTTGTATTTGCTTAAGAAATTATATTTGTGGCACCTTGCCCTAGATTTGTATTTGGAAACACGGAGTGATAAATTTACAATGTAAAATGATATTTACAAAAAGGCATTTTTCCAGATTATTCCACCACTTGTTTTCTTCATTCATTGCCAAACATCGTAAGGAAGGGAAATAAACTCTGATATACATACTAGATACAGCGTAGAGCTGAAACAGATAGCTGCAGGTCAAGAAGATGGAATGATAATGGATGATAAACAAGTTGAGCTTCCTCTATATTTTCTGTATCTGCTTGAATTGTACAAAACATGTCTTTACTGGACTACAAAGAAGGCAGAGGTGTGGCAGCGGGGAGAAAAATACTGGAAGTGGCATATCCTCATACCTGCACACACTGGTTGTTACTGTCTGCTATTAATATTTTTCCATTTGTAGATGCAGCTACACCTTGAAGATTTGTAAATTCCCCTTTGTTTCTTCCTTTGGTGCCTAAAATTGAACACAAAGCACGTAAGAAATCAGGTTAGACAGGAGTAATCAGTTAGGACCTAAATGCCAACACATGCATTTATTACATAATTTATTACATTACTTGATCTACAGATTTCTATTTTGAAGAGTTCTTATCACTGCTACAAATGCAAAGAACCATCTCAGTCACACATAGGGTAAGGGACAATGGCTTTAAACTGGAAAAGGGAAGATTTGGATTAGCTATTAGGAAGAAATTGTTCCCGGTGAGGGTAGTGAGGCAGTGGCAGAGGTTGCCCAGAGAAGCTGTGGATGCCCCATCCCTGGAAGTGTTCAAGGCGAGGCTGGATGGGGCTTGGAGCACCCTGGTCTGGTGGAAGGCGTCCCTGCCCATGGCAGGGGCGTTGGACTAGATGGTCTTTAAGGTCCCTTCCAACCAAACCATTCTACGATTCTATGATCCACAATTCTAAGTACAAGAAGGGATTGTTCTTACTCTTTGGCATGCATGCCACCTAAGCGCCCATCAACATACTTATCTCTTTGGCCTTCACAAATCAAAGTGTTCACAATTTGCTGCTTGCATGAGAGAACTAGTAAAATGTTTTTTCATAAGTGATGGACTTTTTTTAAACTGAGGATTTTTATTCAACTGAGAAGGCAATGAAAGGGGCAGTACTGTGGGAACATACAGACAGAGGCTAAGATAAGAACCTGGACAGATGGCAAGGTTTTAGTACAATTAGTTAAATATCCTCAGTGAAATCACAAAGTTGAGATAAAACATATCGGTGATCACTTTGGATGAGGCCATTTCAAAGCAGGGAAGTTTCCTATTCACTCATACATAGTTTTCGGTCATAGGCTTTAAAAAGCCCCTTAGAAGGGAAACTCAGATGAAGAACTGGTTTTGAGTGATTGGGACATGTGGGCCAATGAAGACCAACACCTGGAGACCGAATGCTTCTGCAGAGACCTTAGATTGTTCTAATAAAGCAGTATACACACACAGAGGTCCCATTTTTACCCAGGACAAATGCAATAGTGATATATATAGTCTTTTCCCCAGTGGCTTAAGGGCATAAGGAACTGTAAAATGTCAAATTTTCAGAAAAGTTCATTACATTAAGGTGCCTCATTACTTAGATGTTTGTTCTGAGATGTTCCAAGGGGAGTCACACAGCAAACTCATGTCTTTAAAAGGTCAGACCTAAAGTGGCTGGGCCAAATCACACCTGGAGCACAGGAACAGTATCCAAATTCCTGCTTTGTTTGTAAAGGAGGCTCAGGGGTCTTTAGACAAGACTGCAATTGTGCTCTTGGACCCCAAGGTTATTCATAATGAATTAACAAATTTTGAAACAAAAAGACTCTATAAGCTGTTCTTTCCAAGACTTCGATGCAGTACTATTTTTCCTAGTGAAGTATTTTTACAAGAATTCACTGGCTGTGTATCAGACATTAATTGGTTTCAATATATGGTTTTAACTTAAAAACTTGTCTTTTATTTTAGTCAGCCCAAAATATCCTGGACCTCGTTGACTAAAACTGTTCTGACTGTGATGCCCAATATAAGACATACACATTAGCTCTAATTTGTGTTTAGTTTTCATTAGGATCTATATACTCTTAACAACTCTTCCTTCTGCTGTGGTGATGGCTGTGGGATGCATATTTCCTGTCACTGGCTAACAAGTAACATTTCATTCCTCTGCACTTGGTGCTGCGAGCATGTCCCTTTGTTTCAAGGCTTGTTTTCTGGAACTCCATATGCTCCATCCTATAACAACACAAATAATTCTCAATTTTTGTACTGCAAGGGGAAAGTATATATTCAGGGAATAGTGAGTTACACACCAACTACATTACCATGGGCCATTTCTGTGTACTCTTTTAATGAGCAGCGCCTGAGGGATGCATGCAGTAATTTTTTTCCACCATATGCTAATGATAAGTTTCCTTTTTGCCTTTTAGCCAAAGAGAATGGATGAAAAGGGAGAAACATTCTTTTTACTACTGAGAGTAAAGGGAAAACATTTGTTAGAAAAGGGGAGGCGTAAGCTATAGCATCTGGAACCAACTAGCACAAACTTTATGGAATGTATGCTCTTTACCCTTAGAAATATGTTCTTGAAAGTGAAGGATTTAATTTTTAAAGATAAGAGAGACCTATATAAGGAGTTACTCAGTGTTCTTCAGTGGGACCTTGTAAACATACATCAAAGGGAAAATAGAAGAA